AGCGCTCTGGTTTAATTCCTCACTAATTTTTTGGCTCTGCCTTCCTCTATGTGCTGGCTTTATCCCCATGCTGGTCTAGAGAGCTGCAGCAATTCCAGGCTTCCCAAGTACACAGGACATTTATTTCTTCCTTAAGAGTAAGGAAATGTCTTTTCTCAAAGCCCCTATAATACTGCCCTTGCTTTTCACTAGCCTGTATTGGGTCACATGCTATTCCTGTGGCCAGGGTAATACTATGCCTTAATAGGCTTAGATCCAGTTTTCTTAACAGTTTTTGTAAGGGAAATGGCATCACACTCACCAGTGTTTTTCAAATGATGGATCATGACTCAAGAATGCATCATGAAATTAATCTCTAGGTCCTAATCATTTAAAAAATTAAACAGACTTCAGATTGTATCACACATATGGAAGGTTAGTACTGTTTTATGAAACGTCCATCGTCACACACACACACACACACCTGGATTATAAAGTAAAATCTGTTATTGTGAACTGGGGGCAATAAAAGTTTGAATGCTATCTTAGACAAAACAGGTTCACTCCCAAAAGCTGGAGTGGGGTCAGCTTTTGCTTAATTACATGGATTATGTAGGGGAAAAGTGGATACTTGAAGGAAAATCAGGGTACAGTTTGGTAGGAAAACAGATGCTGGGGATATAGTCAACAATTTCCACTGCAGCCTGCCTGACACTTTAGTTATTTAATCTATACTGGCTTCCAATATAGTTATAACCAAACATATTTTAGTTTTCGCAATGCTTGCTAAATTTCAAAGTGCATCTGCATTCCAAAAAAGCACTCCATTACTTCCATCCAATGAATATCCATGATGGGGCAATTTATAAATTTTGTCATTTAGCTGGGGGCAAGTATTGTGGTAAAAGACTCATTGAAATAGCTTGGCTTCTAGGGGAAAAAAACATATATTTCAAATAACTGAGCACATCTTACCAGCACCTTAAACTTTATTTAGGTTTAAATTTTGATCTTATTTGACAACAACTTTAGAGCTCATCCTAGTTCAACCCCTTTCATTTAATAAGTGAAGAAACTAAGGCCTAGAGAGGAGAATGACCTAAGGCACTTAGTTAGTTGCAGAACACAAGTCTCTTGACACCTGCTTCAGAATGCTTTCCACTGTACTAATTAACAGTGGTTATACCAACTTTAAAAAGTGAAAGTAAATAACAAACATGCATAAGTTCCAGAGGCACCTAATTTACAAAGCCAATGGATTCTTTCAAGAGTTGAGGGTGACTTATGTTTTGGGGAGTAAAATTGCATTTTTAAGGCAACAGGGGAGTTTATTAAAGAAATACTGCTCTTGAAGTCTTTAAAGGACAAAGAAAAGTTACCACCTTATTTAAGTGAGGCTAAGGATTTTAAAGCTAATTTTCATGTTACAGTATGAATTGTATTTCACCTTAATATTTTACCTTTTAAGCTAGAGAATTCAATTCATTGAGTACTTTTTGTATGATTAGAAATTTGCTAAGTTCTATGAGTTCTTCCTCAAGAGGTCTTAGCTCCAAGAGATTACAATTTGTGTCTTTACGTATGCAAGGTACTAGAGCAAGACTGACATAGGAACAATCCTCACTAAGAAATGAAGGCGGGGCCGGCCCCGTGGCTTAGTGGTTAAGTGTGCACGCCCCACTACTGGTGGCCCAGGTTGGGATCCTGGGCGCGCACCAACGCAATGCTTGTCCAGCCATGCTGAGGCAGCATCCCACATACAGCAACTAGAAGGATGTGCAACTACAACATACAACTATCTACTGGGGCTTTGGGGAGAAAAATGGGGGGAAAAAAAAAAAAGAAATGAAGGCAATTTCAATTACTTGAAATATAGGGATTAAAAGCGGGAAAGTCCTTTTGGGCTGGATATATTGGGGGAACTTTACTATTTTGTGCACAGGCAGGAAGGGGAGCTTTCATTTGACGGTGCTTATTATTTAGTTCCCGAATACCTCTTCCATTATAAAGTAGAATGCCACCTATTTCCTCCTTTAAGAGCTGTTTTCTCTTTTGTGTGAAAAGGTTTGTCAACCTGGAGCCTTAGGGAGTACCAGCAGAAGGGTAACCAAAGGGTTTTGGAAGTACAAAAGAAAGGGAGTCTGACAGTGCTCAAGACTAACTTTGTTTGCTTTGGTTTTATTTAAGGAGGGCTGATTCTGAAGGGTAAGTAGGGTTTAAACATAATAGAAAAGAATCTTCTCTTTTGGGGTTCAGTCCTGGTAACTACAGTAGGTTAGTCTAATATAGAAGTTGCTGTCTGGAACTAGACTTGCCTATCATTCAGCAGGTATCAGAACCACCTAGTCCATTCTTACTAGCCAGGCACAGTATCCATAAACCTGATACGTTGTAGAACAAGTGAGCAGTTACCATCAAGAACCAAGAGGGGTAGTGTTGGCATTAAAGAGGTCTAGTAGCCAATAGCAGGGTCCCAGTCAACAGATGGGGTTAAATGCAAGAATCTAGACTCGCAGAGCAGGTTAGGGGTAAAGGATTGGAAAGCAAGAGGTCTTATTTTCAAGAGGCTGATATCGTGGACAAATGACCTAATCAAGCACTCAGGTTCAGTAATCACATGAGTCTAGATATCAGACTTAGGGGATCAGCCAGATTTAGACATTATGACACTGTACATGCTTCTCCAACTAGGCAGATTTTTCTGGGATTAATTGACAAAAAGTATTGCATGTATGAGTAATCACGATGAATCTTTTTGGAGAGTTAATTTTACTTGATAGCAATTTAATCCCTATTTTCACATATTTTTATATTAAAATAAGCAGTCATACTTCGAAGTAGATGGCTAATTTTGGATGAATCTAAAGAAAACAGGATTTCAAAGAAACGTGGATTTTAGTAGGGAGTTTTAGCTATATTCCCAAGTCACTGATGCTCTTAGAAAAGTTTGAAAGGCAATGAGTGCAAAAAGTAGTCTTTGGAAAAGACCTGTTTTAAACTAAATTCTGCTGCTTATTGTGTGACTTTGGGCAGATTCAAAAATTACCTAATCCCATAAGATTGTTGTAAAGATTACTGATAACATACAAGCATGTAGTAAGGTACCTGACAGATAAATAGGTACATAACAATGGGACAAAGAGGAAAAAACCTGGGCTAGAAACCCCTTATCTCGCCGCCTCAGATTAGGCCAGATCCTACAGCCTGGAGAGCTGTTGAGCCTCTAGAGAGAATAAACACTCAGTCTACAAGTGTGAGTGCGGGGTGAAGTTTAATTGGAACATGCCTGGATGTGGCAGGGAATATGTCGCATATCTATTCCTATCACCTACATTAGAAGAGTTTTATATACATACTCATTTAATCTTAATAATAACCCTTTAAAGGCATAATTATAATTTTACAGATGAGATAACTGAGGTGCAGGAAGGCTCCAATTGCCCAACGTTAAATAGCCAGTTAAGCAGTGGAGCAGGTACCTGAACCTAGTCATTCTACCACATTGCCTTAGTGAGGGGAGGTATTCCTACCCCGCAAAATGGGAGATAGGTTTGAATAAGTGAGATTAAAGCAATAGCGGCTTTCTAAGTAGCTCTTGCCTACCGGAATAACAAAATATTTGACACTGAGTTGGTGACCTGTGCTGCGTGATGTAACATGAGAAGCCCAGAGACAGGAAGGTCAGAATTCTTTCATAGTATCTAAGAATAAATTGATAGGGGTTTCAAGTCTAATCATCTTCAAGTACACTAAGGACTCATTAATTTAGATTACGGTACATGGAATTTGCAATAAAGTATATAGGAAACGAGAAACATGGAATTTGCAATAAAGTATATAGGAAACGAGAAACAAAGAAAATTGTTCTTCAAACTTCCTCCCCTCTCCTCCAGTAGTTCAGCTTGAATAAAAGCTGTGGCATTCCTTGGTGACTTCTGCCTAACAGCCACACTGAATTCTAGTTAATAGAATAACTGAGCCCAAAACACAAAGGGTAGCATACATATACAAGCAGAATTTACAAATAAAAGCCACCATGCCCTAGAGGGACAGACTGAAGGTGGTTAGGGGCAACTGAGCACATCCCCACCCCCTGCATTTCCATCTCTTCCTGGCTCCTCCCCTTTGGGAGTCTGTGAGCTCAGGGGAGTAACAAGGAGGGGGCCCAAGAGGGTGGAAAATTTGGAGACCTCGTCTTTATTTGCATGAATTCACACAGACTCACTAGGGCCCCTGGGTCTCCAGACTACCCCCAGCAATTTTTCTTTCTTAATGAAAATCAATGACAACACAATGACAAGTTTCAAAATATATTTAGTGTGTCTGTGTGTGTTTAAAGTAAGAAAATTGTGTGCATAAATGCAATGTGCTTTTTCTTTTTAAGCTTATATTAAAATAATCTCATTTCTTGCTTTCTTTAGAACCTTTGTTCATGTTCTTCATGCTCCAGATAGCCAATAAATAGCACAGACAATGCGGGGGGGCGGGAGCCCCCATGCCCTATTCCATTTTTTGTTGGTTCACCTTCACCAACACTTTTTCCTTTATTGAGCATCTACTTTAGGAAGGCCTTTTGCCAAATAATAGAGACACAGAGCTGGATAAGACCATAGAAGAGCTCAGTCCAACTAACACTGGGAATCACGAGACCACCACACAGTTCAGTTGAGACAGGCACAAAAAATAACGCCAAAATAGAAAGATATAGGGAATGAAAGTACCCCAGATAAATTAAGTCCAAGTGTTGAAAAGCAAATAGGAGTCTGTTAGAAAGCAAGGGAAACAAATAATTTTTTGAGACCTAAAGCATGAAACAGTGTGATATGTTTAGGGAATGACAAGAAGTTCCACGTGACTGGAGAGCTGCAGAGTAGGTATGGCTAGAAAGACTGGTAGTCATTAGATCCTGAAGAGCTATGTTATGCTAAGGAACCGGGGCTTTATCTTGTGGATCAACATTTCCCAGCTATGACCATAGAGCCCTTTGAAATTACAATGTGAAGAAGAAATACCAACAATACATGTTTAAATTTTTGATACTTTAGCTTTCTTAAAATATAAGTATAAAAAATTTGAATCATTTTATTTAAAACCCCAGTATACCAGAGATGAAGTAAATCACCTTTTATTTTCCTCTTATATTTGGTTATTAAGAGACATGCAAAACCCTCCAATTTCAATGAGAACAGTGTTTTTGTGTCTTTTTATCACATATCCGCTTAATATTAGGTGTAATGTTGCTAAGTCGGATCCGCATATGAGGTGCAGCATCAAGTCTTTTCCTATATTTCGTTTTTGTTGCAGCATAATATGAAAATCCTGTTTCACACAGGTGCATTGTAGCAAAAGGAAGAAGTACACGAACTGCACGCCTTGCAATGCTTGGGTACTCTTGAATTAGGCTACTCCAAAAATCATTTAGTGAAAGTTCACTGAAATTTTGTTTCACCTGAGAATCAGACGTTAAATCAATCAGGCTCTCATAGTCCCGTGCTACTAATGACGCTGGCTTAACAGTTACCGTAAATGGATTTCTAACCCAAGCATTATTGTCATTTGTTACAGGAAAATATTTTAACAGAGTAGAGCGCAAACCCCTTAGGTGCTGCACAATGGCACTGCAAATATCTTTATCAACTGTAGAATTAATTTCAGTCAAAAAGTCACTGAGCGTAGGAAAACAATCAAAGTTTTCTTCTTCTACAGATGAAGCCCAAAATTCCAATTTTCTTAATAATGATGACATTTTGTCAAATACTGTAAAAACTGTCACATTTTTTCCTTGCATTGACAGATTAACCTCATTTAATTTAGTAAAAATATCTGCAAGATATGCAAGTCTTAGCAGCCAAGATGAATTTGTTAAACAATCAGATAGTCGAAAAGCAGAATCCATGAAAACCAATAGTTCACGACGAAGCTCAAAAAGTCTTACAAGAACTTTACCTCGAGAAAGCCACCTCACCTCTGTGTTTAGAAGAAGTGCTGTGTGCTGGGCACCCATTTCTTCACATAAAATTTTTAGTAGTCTGGATTGATGTGGTCGAGCTTTAATATAATTGATGATCTGTACCGCCTGATCTAGCACATTTTTCAGAGATGTAGGCATTATTTTAACTGCTAGTGCATGTCTATATAATAGGCAGTGACTACTGGTGCTTTCAGGAGCCACATATTTTATCAAGGTGACAGCCTCAGCAATTTTCCCATCCACTGCCCTAGAAGCATCAGTACAAACATCAACACATTTTTCCCATTCAATTTCATGTTTCTGCATAAAACTGTTGATGCAGTTGAAAATCTCTTCCCCAGTAGCATTACTTTGCAAAGATTCACATAAGAGTAGGTCTTCCTCAATAGACTTATTAAACCTATAACGAACAAACACAAGCAGCACAGCAAGTCCTGAAACATCAGCTGATTCATCTAGTTGCAGTGAAAAACCATCACAAATTTTCAGTCTACAAACAAGCTCTTCTTCAATGTCAGCAGCTAGATCCTTAATTCGACGTGCAACGGTACTGTTAGATAGTTGAACTGCATCTATTTTTTTACTATATTGTTCGTCAAACATGCGCATCACGACATCTTTCGCACAAGGCTTGATAAGCAATTCTCCAATAGTATGAGCCTCTCCACTCAGGGCTATATGGTAACTTACATTGTATGATGCCTCTGTAGCACTTTCATTATCTGTATTGACAATTTTAGGTGTTGGGGGTTTATTATTTTCAGGTGAATCAAGATGTTGCTTGAAAAAGCTGATGTCTTTGTCTTTATATGCAGCATGTTTAGTTTCCAAATGTCTTCGAAGCTTACTAGGGGCCAAAGAGCTATTTGATAAAATTTTCTTACATAACACACACTGAGCATGAGGTGCATCTCTATTTCCAAAGTAAGTAAATCCAAAAGACAAATAACTTTCATCATATTTTCTTCTTTTTGGTTTCTTACTAAAGGTTATTTTGTTGGAACTGGACATAAATTTGACCCTGGAAAGCTCACCTTGTGATTTTTTAGAAACTGAAGGCTGCAATTGTTCATCTTCACTTTGTAATATTCCAACCTTTTGATCATTCGATTCAGACACAATTTGATAACAAAAAGATTCTACTTCTTGTTTAAGACTTCCTTGTTTCAGCAACAGATCCATAGGCAATGTATTTGTGGTACAAAACATGGTTAATTTAGAATAAACATTGAGTATCACAAATGTGTTGAAATTATAAGACAGGATACATAGAAGATGAGCAATCATCAAAGAGATGATATATAGCAACACATCAGTTAATTTGTAAATGCTGCCTATGCATCAATGCGCAGATGGAACATCACACGTTCGTCTATCAGGTGATCTCTCACGCGACTTCCTGGTGCTCTCAGGTATGGCACACCTTTTCTTAAAGGTAGATTATCGCATAAAAATAGAAGCTATAGAAATGAGTTTAGTAGTCTTAAACTTCTATTTTAAAATAAACTATAAAGAAAAATTATTGTTAGCATTGATCTTTTTCTCAGAACACATCAACTTAGAGAATATTAATATTCTATAACACACAATTTGGGAACCATTGGGCTAAGAAGTAATGAATTGATAAGTGTATTTCTAAGAAAGGAACCTTGAGGAGCAAGTCCCATGGCAGGGGTTGGCAAACTTTTTTTGTAAAGGGCCATACAGAAAATTTTTTTACATACAGTAAATATTTTTAACTTTATGGGCCATGTAGTCTCTGTTGCAACTGCTCAACTCTGTAGTTGTAGCATGGCAGCAGCCATAGATAATACGTAGAAGAATGGACACAGCTGTGTTCCAATAAATCTCTGTTTACAAAAACAAACAACATGGGCCATCATTACCAAGCCCTTCTCATGGTATATAGGACCTTGGAAATCTCTTTTAGCTTTCTAACACCTACTGCCATTAGAGACATTCATTGTTGATACTCTTACAAATGCCAAGGCTCCTTCCAGAGCTAGCAACTATTGTGAGGAGCCATATTAAAAACACAGAAACACAACTCAAAGTTTTAAAAGACACAGAAATATGTTGTATCCTAAATACTGTGTGTTAACATTGAAAATAAACTGCAGACCAAAAGTTAGTTACTATCTTCTGGAGTTAAAATTACATAAATATTTATATTATCCAAATTAAGACTCATTCAAAGTAATGTATGTTTTACTGTTTACTCTGCACCCCATTATAGTATAGGTGAAGACTTAACCAAGACCTAAAGAGAACATAAACTCTCATTTTAACAGATTTATTCCTCATATAATTAAAAAAAACATAATTAAAAGGGAAGGGTAATGCAAATTTTAGGACCTCTAAAGGCTACTAATAGCTTTATAAGTTAAGGCATACAAATTTAGCATCTATCCAAATACATCCACTTTTGATTTAAACCTCATGATTGGGCTACAGAGTAAGCTTTGTATTTTCAGGTTAGATTCTGAATCAAAATGGTTTTCCTATTAACAGCTGGGGGGTAAGATACCTGAAACGATGAGTACTCCCTTCTGCAATCACATTCTCCACCTTGACAGCTTGAAACGCACTCTTCAAAAGAATAAAATTAAGGGATGGGGTGGAAGGGGAGTAACCAAAGGCCTAGAATGAGAAAAATTAGAATTAGACGCTGCAAAAGCAGAACTACAAACCTCTAAGGTGACCTTTCATTACAATTTATTTTAGATCCAGGCAGTGCAAATGATTCTCCACTGCAGTGCAGATCTTGGACTGAAACAGAAGATGCCTAGCATAGTAAAAATGCTAAAATCTCATCTTGTTTAATACACTGGTAATTTCATTGTTGTGAGATGCTCTCTCGCCCACTGACTTCATAGAAATACATGAAAAACTTTCAAAAACTAAACCTCTTAAAAATTTTTTTATCGATGTCATAATAGTTTTATAACAATGTGAGATTCCAATTGTAGATTATTATTTGTCAGTCACCATATAAATGCACCCATTCACCCCTTGTGCCCACCCCCCAACTCCTTTCCCTCCGGTAACCACCAAACTGTTCTGTGTGTTAGCTAAACCTAACTTTTAAAAGTACAGCCACATCTTAATGTCTCTAAAACTAAGCATTGAAAGTAATCTAAAACGGAATCACACATGGAAATGTTACATGAAACATGTCTTTCTGCTATAACCATTTTTGTCCCCTCAATAACCAATCTCCTAAGGTTACTAATGTTTTATTGAGTGATCATTGTTTACTATGTGCCAGTAACTGTTAAATCCCTTATAGATTATCTCATTTAATCCTCAAAACAAACCTGAGAGTCCGGGACTATTAATAACCCCACTTGAGAGATGAACAGAAAGACAATGAGGTTAAGTCACCTGCTAAGTGACATCTTGTAAGGGAAGAACTAACAACAGAACCCAAAAAGTTCAACTGCAGAGCCCATGTACCTAGCCATTACTTGTGTGTTCCTGAACACTCTTTTAATTTCCCAAGCACTAAAAAATCTGGTATGAGGAGCTGGGCGGTGCAGAGAGAAATGGATTACAATGGGTTACAACTGGCATCAGCAGACAGTCCTACTTCTCCATTATTGGGAGCAAAAGAGCAGCAGATTCTCCTTCCACAATCCCGATTTGGATTTAGCCAGAGAACTTCCTGGAGCTGCTGGTTGACCTAAGAGATCAGGATCCGTCTCCCTTGCTGCCAGAGAAGGACACAACAGAGAAGGAAGCTTTGTTTCCAGGAAGGAGGGCCTCATCCCCATCTCTTTTAGAGATGCTTCCTCGCATCTCTCGAGGACAAAGAGTCTGGACTCTTTGTAAAGTTTTTTTTCCACTCCCCGAAAAGGGCTGGTGGGGGGCACCCTCATCTTGCCTCTGCCTCCAGTTAAAGTGACAGGGGACACAATCCATCCACCCCCACCCTCGGGTGGTTCCAGCTTTGAACAATACCCTCAAGGGCAGGAGGGCCGGGCGGGAGTGCAGTCCAGTAAGCAAGGCTAGGCAGGAGGTGGGTACGGACACCCCTTCCAGCTCTGAAATGCTTTTTTCACCGGGCCCCTCGATGTGCGGCCCGGGCCGGCTCTCCCGCAGCTCTGGTCACAGGTGCGCGCTGCCCCCAGACCGCCACGTCGGGGGCTCGCTCCCCGTGGGCGGCCGCCCTCGCCTACACAACTCTTCTCTCGCGTCCCCGGGCCGTCGCCTCACCTAACTACCCCATGAACTCAACTCAGCACCCAACACTATCCTTCTCCTCCAGCTCCATCAGTGATGGAGAGCGCAGTCTCCGCTGCGGCTAGGCTGCAGAGCAGCGCCGCGGTCCCCGGCTGAGCCTGCGGCCGCCATTTTAAACAGCTCAAGGCAGCGGCCATTTCAGAGCGCACCATTCAGCCGCCGTGGCGGCTCTGGTCCTCACCTTCACCGAGGCCTGAACAGGGTCAAGAGCCAGTCGTCGCGGACTGGAGGGGACAGGGAGGAGGGAGGAATGAAAAACAAAACAGAGGAAAGGATTCAGGGACAGGGTGATGCTCTTAGCTCAGGGATACCGCCTATACCACCTCCATAGAGATCCGATTCGCGGCTGGCGCGGTCGCTCGTCTGAAGATAAATTTAGCACTCGGAGGCACCCGAACTTACTATCTTCGCGAGCGACTCCTCCGCTGCCCAATCAGCGCCAGAGTTTCTCCCCGCCACCAATCCGCGCTGAGCAGCAGGGCGGGACCAAAGGAAAGGACCAAGCTCGGTTGAGGCGCGGCCCAGCCTCGCCGCCGCGCTGGATTCGTGCGAGCTGTGAGTCCAGGCTGGTGCCAGACGAGAAGCGATTGTTTTCAAACTTTCCTGGGCCTGAGGCAGCCCGGGCGTTTGGGTAGAATGCAGATTCCTGGGTGCCACCAGATAGCGTTTGTGATCCTGTACGGCTGGACTGGACTCCAGAATCTGCATGCACCTGAACATGGGCGTTCTGCGCAGGCGGCGGCGATTTGAGTGCATTCGCGGTGCCTCGGCTGCCGGTGCTTTCACGACCTCTTTGTTCCCTGAGCCGCACCGCAGGCCCAGGCCACTGCCTCCTCTTTTCCTTGTTTTCCCACTGGAATCGGGGCAGAAAACGCCCTCTCCCTTCCCTGCCTCTCCCCTGCGCTGGCCGGGCCGAGAGCTGAGCCTGAGAGCGCTGCTCCGGCCCGAGCTCTCGGTGACCCTAGGTGGGGTCGGGGAACGCCGTGTGGGAGGATGTAGGGATAGCGGCGTCTCCGCAGTGTCAAGGGGAAGGATGCGAGTCCGCCTGCTCTGTCTTTGCACCTCTTACAAGGGGCACCCTCCCCGAAGGCGCGCCCGGCCCCCTGCACCGAACGGCCAACCGTCTGCAATACTCTGTTTATTAGCTGCCGCATTCGGGTGTTTTAAGCCTAGTTCTCCTACGCCGCTCCCCTCTTTTTAAAAACAACACAACAGAAGGCTGCGAGCTGTGTACTTCCATTTGTGTGAGATCCGTCCTGCAGACCTAGAGTCGGTTTTTCCAAACTGGTACTTTGAAATATATACACTTCTCGGAGGTAATTTGTTCAAGTACGACTACCATTAAACAGTAGGTCCCGTTCTTTGCAGTATTTTAGCCTTTCGAGGCCCCGTGGAAATAGCTCAATGAAAATTGGATCATGTTTTCAGGCACTGCGTCAATGACAGCAAGTCCCCAACTTGTGGTCAAAAGCAAGGGCAGCTTTTGTTTTTCTTAAACATGCTTCTTGGATGTGTGAACAAATCTCTTAGGCTTTGAAAGAAACCTAACTCTTAATTGAACACAATTTTCGGGAGGACTGCTTAGACGATTTCCTAGGACTGATAAATCGAAGCCAACGTTTGGTCATAAATGTATTAAAGTCATTTCAACATTTTCAGATCTTTGCCCTATAGTAGGCTATCCGCATGTCTTTATTATTTTTACGTTATTCCTATTAAATCAGTTTCAGTTGAACTTTAACCACAAAGGTGGAAATCATTTTTGGAAAAGGGGTGCAGTTTTACTTGAAGAGCAAAGATTTTCATTTTGTGATTGCAGGAGTCGGCTAGCTTCCTAATAATATTGGAATAATATCACATATTTTTATATGTTTTATATTTCAGAAAAAAACTTTTACATATATGTTCCTAGTTTAATCTTCACACATCTAGTTTACATCTTCATGAATTGGGAAAATCCAAAACATTCAACTGATGGGAAGAACAGTGTTTGAACAAGTTCAGCTAAAGTCAAGTCTAGGATTTAACCTAAATCCTAAAAATCTGAAGAGTCTGGTAATTAAGGGTCATGAAACATAAGAACTTTTTCTGTAATTGTTTAGTCCATAATTTATTATAGAATGTTGGTTGATGAGACAGATAAGACAATATATAGACAATGTAGAACTCAGGCAGACCAAGAATGATAATAGCTAGCTAGCATTTATTGAATACACAGTTTGGGCCAAGGGCTGTTGTACACGCTTTTTAATGTATTAGCTCATTTATTCTTCACAACAACCCTATCAGATGATTGTTCCTATTTTACAGATATGGAAATTGAGCACAGACTGGTAAATAACTTGCCCAAGTTCCCAAAGCTAATTGGTGGTGGAACCTAGATGAGGTGTGATGCTGATTGTGGGAACTGCAAGCCATGTGTATCAGGGTGGGGTATCTGTGTGTGTATGTATGTGTTTGTGTGTATGTGTGTGTGCACGGGCGCACGCAAACATATTAGGTTGAACACTATTGTCAATAAGATTACAATACTATGTTGAGTAAGCAGGTAGAGCCTCATCATTAGAAAGGAACTCGGTTTGTTACCTGGGGCTCAAGCAAAATCATCATTGGAAGCACTGACAAGAATTTCGACTGATATCCCGAATTTGCAGCCTCAGTTGCTGTAAGAGGTCTGAGATGGCAGCTCACGTTGGTTGCGTGAGTTAATTTGCATTGCAGTTAGATTTGCCAGAACAGATGATGAGACAGGGAGCACTAGAGGCAGTATTGTAGGTCAGAGTGTCCCACCCCTGCCCTTTATATTCCTCCATCCCTCAGTTTATGTGGGCTGCCCTGGGAAGAGCAGGACTGCAGCCGAAACAGACCCTGAATAAGCTGACAGCTGGGGGCCATGTGCTGATCATGCTATTAGTCCCTGAAAGGGCTGCAAGTCTTTTCTTGAAGAAGGATCTGAGTGTCACATCTCCATGTCTGCCATAATGTGTAACCTTTAATATAAAGGTGGCAAATTAATACAGTTTTCATTATTTCTCTGAAAGTTATCGTTATTGTGGTATCATACGCTTTGTCAACTTTTAAGATGTATGAAACATTTAAGAGAATTTTGTGACCACATGTATGAGATTGATTTATTGGTATTAGATTTACAAGAGTTGCATAAGTGCTTATAAAGATTTCACTGGCTAGATGTTAGATATATTACATTTGTAATTATAGTTTAAAATAACTAAGAAAATTTGATTGAGTATGCAAATGATGTTAAATATTTAAGAAATATTTAGTCTGTTAAGCTTGTGAATTTATTAAATCATAGTCAGAATAAGTAAAAGTGATTGTCCATATTTTTGTGCAAAGATTATGAGATTTATAAATAGACTAACAAGATTTATAAACTGAGCTTAAATGCTTAAGAAACACAAGTTTACAATTTTAACATATTTTTGCTATTAATAAACAAACTAATCATGTCAATTATCAATGTTTATTGTAGCTTTTATTCACTCCTAGGGCTTTCACTATTCCCATTACGTTCAATGATTCTCAAAAATATAACATGAGCCCTGACTTCGCACTTGAACTTCAGTTCCATGTTTTCAAGTCTGTGGACTTTCTATTTCAACATATACTAACACCTCAGATTCAGCATGTTCAAAACTTTATTAATGCTCTCCGAATACTTGTACTTTCCCAATGACCTTATTTTTTTTAAAGATTTTTTCATTCTTTTGATATCCCAAACTAGCAAACTTGAAGTCAATGGTTACTCTTGACTCATCTTCATATCCACATATATAGGCATCAAATTGTTACTTTCTCTAATGTCTCTTAGATTCATCCCCTTCCCTCCACCACTCTTGCATGTTTTCTAGACCAGGCTCAAGAAATGTTCCTTCTAAATTATTGCTACAGTCTTGCTAGCTTCCAGTCTCTTCCCGTTTAATTGGTTTTGCATACCAGCCTTCCATATTTTACAACCTTCAGTGACTCACTACTTCTTCCGTGTCATGGCATAGACTCATAAAAGTTTAGAGCTGAATAAAATATTTAGAAAATAATACAATATAATCCCCTTTTTCCTCAGTTTTATAGAAGAAAGAATCAATCCCAGAGCTATTGCATGACTTTGACGTCACATTGATAATTGATGACAAAACTGGAATAGACCTCAAGGTGTACGGGGCATGTCTTAGAATTCCTTTTTATCTCCCATTGTACTAGAGATTAAACTGTGCGTTTGGCAGATACACTGCAGATATTGGTTGATATGTAAATTAAGCCATCTTAGACTCTCTGTTAATAAATCCTTTCTGTTGCAAATGATAGAAATACAATCCATAAGCAAAAAGTTAATTTCTTGGCTCACGTTACTAAAAAGTCCATTGGTACAGGTATGGATGGGTTCAGTGGTTCAAATGATATTGTCAGGGCTCTGTTTGACTCTCTGTGTCTTGATAGGCCGTCTCTGAATGGCAGTGTGATGGCCTCTGTCATCCCAAAGCTTCTGGTGAAAGAGCATCTTCCCCAATAGCATTGGGAGAAAGGTTCCCAGAAAGCTCTTTCCTTCAGTTTGGGTTATGCCTGTGAACCAAACATATATCCCAAAGAAGGAGACCTCTAAGCCGTCAGCTTGGGACACATACCTCCTTTAGTTTTGAGAATGTGCGTTTACTCTGATTCACCACCAGATCTCATGGAATGGGTGAGGGGCGGTCCCAAAAAAGGAAGAGATTCTGGAAAAGCAGAAGATACTCACTAAATTTACTCTTTCCTTGCCCCTCATATCTGATCAGCTACCAAGAGTCCTCTATTGTTCTATCTCTTTGTCCAAGCTTTTCTCTCCAATTCCACTACCATCACTTTAGTCCAGGATCCTCTTATTAAACTCCTAACCAATCTCCTGGCTACCTTCAATCTCTATCAAATTTATTCTGGACACAGATAAGTACTCTATTTACACACATTGAAGTCACTCCCTTACTTGAAGCTATCCCTGTTGCTGGGGTGATCAACTCCTTGGCTTGGTATTCAAGGTTTTCACTAAATTGGTTTTGATTTTTAAGTTATTTTTTTCAATTTTACAGCAGTGGAGGTGCTAGGTGGGAAGTGAGGCAAGTAAGGGCTGGATTGTCTGGAGCTCCCTCTCTTCAGCTAATGGTCATGTGACATGTAGGTTAGTTGTTCTGGCTTAAAGGCCCAAGTTTGGGGTATTCATTTTGTTGTTTTCCTTTTAATTTTAAAATTAAAATATTACTAAAAGGATTATAAACAACAAGAGAAATTCCTTGGCCCCTTCTTCAGATGCAATCACTTGTTACATTTTAGGCCATATTTTTTGGTATTTACCTTCATATTTCTCAATGAATATTGTGTATAGTGCTATTTGCTTACACA